AAAAAGGCTTATTTAGAAAAAGAGGAAAAAAACATTGCAAAGAGGAGTCATGGAGTCTTGTCACCGTACATGAGTCTTCATGTACACCTGGCCTACAAGCTGCACACTTGGCCGAGTGGCCACTCAAGTAAGCCTATTTCGAATATTTTGGTCATGTGCACGCTATGAAGCATCTGGATCCAAGGGTTAAGATTTGAGAAAAAAATCAAGATTCAGGTTTCTAGTATAAGATTAAAGCTTTCACATATACAGTATCAGGTTTATTATCCTCAGTTGCATCTGTCTAGGCAATGAAAAGTTACCTTGCATGGCTCAGAAGATATAACACAATTGAGCCATATTCCAGTCCGGCAGCACGAATAGCACCCAAATAAGCTGATATTGCAAGCAGTCCTGCTTTCTGGTCCGCCCGAACCATCCACTGGGCTGCGTTCTGAGTTAGTGGGATGGCCTGGACCAGACGCAAGACATACCATACGCTCTCTCTGTCAAGGTTCCCTCCCACAATTTGGTCTGGAAATTATAGTTAACATTTATCTTTGGTGATATTTATATACCTGAATCATAGTGCATGCCTTACAGTCACATAAAAAGAACCAGATGAAAAATGGAATAAAACAATTTTACTTTTTTGCATGTTAACATTATTTATAATATGTCAGTCAACTGCAAAATATTTGATGTCAATTAAATTTTTAATAAGGAGATTTATCACTGACACACAAATAAAGAGCATGAGCCAAAAAAAGGACTGTCCTAAAATTTCTAAAAGTACATCATTAAGCTAAGTGTAAGGAGAGGAAGATATATTCTTCCCAACATTAAAGAGAAAATGTATTTCCATACCTCACAACTCAATCCCAAAACTATTCCTTCCCATTTTTACCTTGCAAGAATTCCAAGGCTTTGTTCAGTCCTTTATAAGGTTGGGTTGACAGCAGTAAGTACAAGACTTGGTCCAGTATTGATCCAATGGCCTTTTCTGGACACTCTACAGGTGTTGGGAAACCAGCTCGAGCATAGAGGGTCTCTCGCTCTTCATGTCCTCCCACGAAGGCAATTAGCACTTCCGCCAGCAAGATTGTTCTGTTGGTTCCCTGTGTTTTACATGAGTAGTATTACTTAAAAATAATTAAGTTTTATTCATTCCCTTATAAAAATTAAGTATGGCTTATAATCTTATATCTAAGTTGTTCATAGTATAATTGAATTTGTAAACAGTTCTGCTTCATAATGAAGATGAGTTTTACACCATCAACTCCAAAACCATCAAACCTGTGGGAGCGTATTGGCCAAATCAACAGCCAAATCCCAGAGCATGAGCCTCACAGCTCGGTAAGTAAGGTAGCGCATGGCTGTTGCTATCAGTCCTTGAATTGCTGGGATGTCAGTGTCAAATGCACAAGAGTCATTGTTGGCTGAAGGATCTGTGCATATGAGTTTGCCCACAGCAACAACTAGTTCTAATTCATGGCCTCGTAGGAGCATTGAAAGAGAACCCTGCAAAAATATAATAATATTATGATAAATGACAAACTGAAATTCTTAAAATGAAAAGGAAAAATGCAAGGTACCAAAAGAGACAGCAAAGGAGTTACTTTTCACAAACATTTAAAGGAAGAAGCAAAATCAGATTTATCCTTCAAAAAACCCTTTGCTCTCCCACACCACAAAGAATGACCTCACCTTCACATCGTCCACAGCAAGTAAGGCACAGGCAGCTATGATGGGTGAGCCTCGACGCAGATGCCACTCAGCCACCAAGTGAGCACACTCGAGAGTTCTCTGCCCCACAGGCTCAATCCCGTTCATTTCTCCCGCAGGCACTCTTGGAGGCACTTCAGGTGGTGGTCCCTTCCGGCTCGTCCTGTGAGTCTTACTAAGCGCGACGCACTCAGAGAAAGCTTTGTCAAGGTGGCCTGGAAATAGTGGAGTCACTTCAAATACCTGTGCATGTTGGAACTCTGATAAAAGAGAAAAAAATTGTATTTTGCTAAAACACTGCTCAAAAAAATTACAGGCCTTTCTGATGGGGATACATTCCAATCTCAAGTTTAGGATAAGTTAGTTGGGAAATCAGGGGAGTTAATCACTAGATACAGTATCTTGACACAATCCAGCATTCTTTTTCTTCTCATCTTTTTAGCAAAGAGGCGCTGTTTATCCTTTTCTTAAAGATTCTAAACTAAAGATTACAAAATCATATCCACACTAAGTTCCTTAACTCTTTAAAATTGCAGTGGATAAACAGCGTCTACAACAGTTCACAGCCAGAAAAGCCATGCAAAAAGGCAACAGTTTTTTTACATTAGCAGCAACATATCATGCATGAACAGTCCATTCTCCACATCACTTTGCATGACTTTCACCTGTTGAGTAAATGTTTGTTAAAATGGTCTTACCAGATTACAGCCACCATATAATCAGGAGCATTACAACACAGAATTTCAGAGTAGTAATATGGTCTCAATCTATATTACTTTTTAATCTTTATATAAAA